CAAATGATTCGTTCTCGCATCGTCACGATGAAATAGGTACGGTCACATATTACTAACAATACATATGTGGTACGGTGGAATACGGAAAGTGCAGGTGTACTGTACAACTCGCCGGCATGCCTCTGATAAAGTGTTTTTAGATGTGTTTAAACAAAGGGCATGTTTTTATGACAGAATAGTTACCTACTTATTATTAATGTAGGTCAAGGAGGAACTGGAGGCAAATACGCTGTGAACAAATGAAATGATGACTTACTAATTAAAAATATTTTGTAAATTTGATTATACCAGTTAGATTTTTTTTACAGTTATTTTTGGTTTTACTATAACTGCTTAATTATATGCCTAATTAATAACGATTGTATAGCATCAGTATTTCGTACTTTTTTGGCGGCAGATTAACAAGCGTGCGTTGTATACTAATTTGCTTAACATTATAATTAACATTTTTGATAAAATATTAAATCAAATGTAGAGTTTTCTTATATACAGGGTGTCTCAAAATTAGTGTCCAATAATTTACCACTTGATTATATTGCGAAAAATAAGAATATTTTTTCAAATAAACATGGGTCGAGAGATGTTTCCTAAGGGAGCTACACCCCCTAAATAGGGCCTCAAAAAAAATTTTTTTTTTAATATTTTCGAAACGGGTTGAAGGAAAATTATGAATGTTGATACCATGAACGCTCTTAAAAGTCGAAATAGATTATCATAAAATTTTTCAAAAATTTTAATCATCTCAATTGGGGGGGGGGTCGTCGGCTAAAGTTTGCCCCTATTGCTTTTGTTTGCCGAAATTTTCAAATTCTGATCAAAACAACATCACCATTTTTCATAGAAAACTCAGATCAATCAAATTTTATAGCAACAAATGCAACATGCAAAAATTCGATTCTCCCCCTCCCCTTGCTCGGGACGGCCCATAACAAAGTTTTCTAAGCACTTTTCACGTTGTTTATTACAATGTATATTCATATGATGACATATGAAAATTCATAATGGTACATGTGCCCATTTTAGCCATTCAAGACAAATTTTTTGAATTTTATTAAGGTAACGTAATGAATTGCTTAAATTCGTTTTTCTCGGAAATGGAGCATTTTATCCAAAGAACTAAAGAGTACCTCTTTTGTAAAGGAAATGAATATCTATCATATGTTGGCATGAAAACATGAACTTGAAAATTTCGACAAGTAAAAAAATAGAGGCAAATTTTAGCCGACGATTAAAATTTTATGACGATCTTTTAATGAGCGTCAATTATGTCAAAATTTATAATTTTCCTTGAACCCGTTTCGAAAATATTAAAAAAAATGAATTTTTTGAGGCCCCCATTTAGGGAGCGTAGATCCCTTAGGAAGCATCTCTCGACCCATGTTTATTTGAAAACATATTCTTATTTTTGGCTATATAATCAAGTGATAAATTATTGGACACTAATTATGAGACACTCTGTATATAAGGAAGCTCTACATTTGATTTAATATTTTATCAAAAATGTAAATTAAAATGTTAAGCAATACAACGCATGCTCGTTAATCTTCCGCCACGTTTTTTTGAATACCACGAAAATAAAAAGCTTTATTAGGCCGACATGCAGGTTTGCTAAAATAAACAATGTTTAGAAAAAAATACACACGCTTACGATGGAAGTATGGCTCTCGTAATAGTATAAGTAAAATTTTCATATTTTTTATTTCAAAGTGTATAATGTTTAGTTTTCTTATTACTGAATGTTAAGTTTCAATAAAATATATGTTTGCTTATATTTATTTTCTTACAAATCTACTTACAGAGCCACTAAACATGCGTGCAATGTAGGAATAATATATCATTCTCCGTCCCTTGCGCGTTTGCAAGCCTGAACCCATCTCGCTTGCACTCACAGACTGCTACGATGTTTACGACGGAGACGGAACCCTTTTATTGGCTGTAATTAAGAAACGCCGACGAAAAACCGACTTTTTTGTCTGTCATTTCACTTTTGTGGTCAAATTGTATTCCCAAAGCCGAATTTCATAGTCTGCAGGTGGTACAAATCAAGGAGTTTTTGAAAAAAAAAAAAAGTTTGAGTAGCCGCCTCCGGCCAAACGTAGCGATATTTGTTCACTTTAAACCTATTTCAACATTAATGTGCTTATCTTTTGGTACAAATGATGGGAAAAAATCACGCCAGCTCTTAGGCTATAAGTATTTAGTCCAAGCATTATAGAGAAATGCTTACAGAAATTATTACCTGGACAAAAAAATATGACCGTATAGAAAATTAAATTTTAAATCGAGTTTCTTGTTCTTTAAACTCGATCCAAAATGGCGAACATGGTTAAAAAAATCGCAAAGTTGCAAAAAAATGTTTTTTCTAAAATAACTAAAAAAATATAGCACCGATCGAAAAATTTTAAAACAGAAAGTTGTAGGTTTTAAAAAGATCTATCGACTGATTTTTTGTAAGTAAACATATCCTACTATTTTTTTTTTTTAAAAATATAAATATTCAATATTAACCTCCATCAAGTGCATCGCTGTAAAAAATGTTAATTGCGTCTTCAAAATTTTTTTTAAATAAAAAAATTATCTCGGCTCCAGAAAGTCGTAGAAAAACATTTTTTTTTTAAATTGGCGAAAAAATGTCAGCAGTTTCCTTCTTTAAAAGTCATTTTCATAAAATAAAAATTGAAATAGTTATTTGAAAAAAACACCCAAAAAAGTGCAACTTTTTCAGTCATATTTTGATCCTCTCATCTAAAATTTTTCGATCGGTGCTATATTTTTTTACTTATTTTAGAAAAACCGTTTTTTGCAACTTTGCGATTTTTTTTAACCATGTTCGCCATTTTGGATCGAGTTTAAAGAACAAGAAACTGGATTTAAAATTTAATTTTCTATACGGTCATATTTTTTTGTCCAGGTAATAATTTCTGCTAATTTAACATTAATCCGTGACAGAATGCTTGGACTAATTTGCAACAAAAAAAAACTGGTCTGCCGGCCGGTAAACACGAACACGTGCTCTTTGTATTGGTAAAATTTTGAAATAAATATGGAATGAGTAATGAACTACAATTAATAAATTATGAAAATATTTACCAGAGGATCTGATAAACTATTTTGTTTTTTTATTTCTATTTTTCTCCTATTTTATGTTTCTCAATAGGTTCAGGGTGTTTAATACTACATTAATTATAATTCATAACATATTTTATCTATATATTTTTAAGAAAAATAATGAAATTTTTCTGTACATTTTAATTGTCTGGAATACAGTTGCATTGTTATTTAAAATCATTAAAACTGTCTTTACCACAATGTTTCCATACTTCCAACATAATGATAATAATCACAAATATTTCACAAATATGTCTGTTAAATGAAATTAAAATATATAGAACATTAAGGGTATAAAATGAGCATCATTTTGCATTCGACATGCCCAGTAATAAAGAATCTGGGGAATTTGAAGTTTTTGTCAAAAAAGTTGTTTGGTATATCTAGTGTTTACGAAGATAGTTGAAACCGTATAAAAACTAAAAGTCGGCATCTCTTTCCGGGCACAATAAAGACTTTTAGTTTTTATACGGTTTCAACTATCTTCGTAAACACTATAATAAATGTTTAAATTTTTGATAGTATCAAGTATAGTATTCCTCTGTTTCCACATCCAATATTTTATTAAAACACTGTAGGTCATTATATTATTTTTCTGTGCAAATATTAAAATTATCTGACAATTCTTGTTCATTGCACATATTTTCCCTAATGCGGCTCTGGACGATAATAGGCTTACCAATGTCCTGAGAATATATAGTTACCGATTAAAGAAATCTTTACGTCGATTGCTATGTGGTATTATAAAGTTGTTCTAGTTTGGCATTACGCTAGTAGAGACCGCCACTTCCTGGATGGATTTTCTACTATCTATCAGGTGCTATCGCTGTCTTACCAAAAGTGCGTTTTCTTGTCTATAAAACGGCGCCCTTAAGATAATATATTTAATGCTATCTTTGAATAAATATATCACACAGCAAAAAAGTAATTAGAAAATCATATATTTGACAAGAAATGTATGACATGCATAATAATATTTAAAATATGTGTACAACATACGTCTTTCCTACTATCCTAATTCAAAACCGGGGCTAAATAAGATAAAAATATTTAGTTCATATGTGATTGACCGATTAATTAGTTCAAAATTTCCATCATATGATGTATCAAAAAGAAGAAAACGAAGTAACATGTCGGATGAAGTGCAACCAACAGAAAAATTGCAAGTTTATCTAACCTAATGTTTAAAAATACCACAAAGTACCTAACATCCTTTAAACTTCATTTAATTTACTGGGATTAATTTGTAGACCGATTAGTTAACAGTGTATTTAATCTATACTGAAAGTACCGGCCCTAAGGGGTAGAAATGATAAATTAATTTCAAGTCAAATTCTCAATACATAAATTCAACTTTTGAAATTAAATGAATACTTCAACTTTCACACTGAAATTTACTCCCTACTAAGTTAAATTGGATGTTCTAACTCTAGCAATTTCAAGTCATACTGGTACATAATTTAAAGAAAAGTATATGATAATTAAGAGGCACTTTTATATTTACAGTACGATGATTTTTTGGGTTGTCCAAACCGAAAATCTGTCAAAAATTAAAGTAACTACTCACATCAGTTTTTCTTTTAACATAATAAAATATACATAAGAAATAACCCTCGTACCTTGTAGATTTTAATAAAATTTAGATGTTCATAATAAAACATTTCGTTCATATATTGATATAGTACAAAAAAATATATAAAAATATCCACATTTATGTCTAGTACGTTTAAACCTGTGATCTGTACACACAAATTTATTGCAGTAATATAACTGACTTATAAAATCATTAAATTTTACAAAAAAAAAAGAGGCACAATTATATTTAATTAGAGAAAATAAAAACTGGTACAATTATTCTAATAGTCAAAAAAGTTAAAATTGAAAACACAAACCTGTAAGGCGCCAATAGCTGCAGACTGAAAACGGAGATCGGTTTTAAAATCCTGGGCAATTTCTCTTACCAATCGTTGGAAAGGTAATTTTCTAATTAGCAATTCAGTGGATTTCTGGTATCTTCTGATTTCTCTTAGAGCTACTGTACCAGGGCGATAGCGATGTGGTTTTTTTACACCTCCCGTTGAGGGAGCCGATTTTCTTGCCGCTTTTGTTGCCAATTGCTTACGAGGAGCTTTTCCTCCTGTTGACTTACGAGCGGTTTGTTTTGTACGAGCCATTTTGTGTCACCTATTACTGAAGAAAAAAAATATGATACAACATGCAATTTCATAAATATTTAAACATATGAGTCACAAAGACAACATGGCGGAGAAGCAAAGTATCTAAATTGTAATTGGGTTTTTTAATTTTAAAGTATATTATTTATTATATTAACTATTCTCTTCTTCCTTCCCTCGAGTAATTCTGGTTAGATATTTAATTCTTAAAAACAATAATTATTAGCTAACTACTTACTTTTCACAATTTACAAGAAAACAACACTTCTAAATATAACACGACGCTAGATGCAAAATGAAATGGGTGTGAAATGCCAACAAAGACAGTGTGGTGGCGCAAGACTCGTAAGACGCTTGTGTCGAGATTACTATTGGTGGATGAAAACTCATCCGGAATGCTATTGGTAGAAATAAAATAACACGTAATTGGTCGAAATGAGAAATATAACGATTTAGCCCTTCTAAAAGGCCTAAACATTTTCAAATATTGAGCCCTAAACATATTATAAAAATATATATTTTTTATTTTTTAGTAAAATCTTAACATAAATAACGAACACACTTTATTTATTATATTATTTAACAGATATATATACTTATTTTATTAGAAATAGCATTATATATTTTCCATTAATTTTATTTAAATGGAGCTAAGAACCATCTAAGGTTATACGGAACCAACATGAATATGCGATTTGATATCTACAGTAGTTTATAATTTTATACTTTATGAAGTTATGGCTTATTCGAAAAGTTCATAGCAAACATTTAAAAATAAAAAATGTATTTAATAGGAATGTGAATAATAGATATTCACAAAACAATTAGTAAATTAACTTTGTTAAAAAAAATAGTGAAATGGAAATATATTCTACAAATTAGGTAAATAATAAATTAATAAAAATGTCACATTAAAAACATAATGGTAATAATTTGGTAATATGTTTATATCATTTATAATCAGCTTGATATAATTTAATTTTAAAATATTGCTGATATGGAGGTAATTCCTAATGGCCTCCTGCATAAGTAAACAGCCATAGACAAAGGAACAATATAGAGAGAACAGTAACTCTTAATACTCTTAATTTATATGTGTCCGTGGCGTTTCGCTAATCCGTTTTTTCGGCGCAAACAGTGGGAGCGCTGTATTAATTGTCCTATTATCAGTTTAAGTGCGCCATTATTCCATGGCTAGAAATTGGCTTCAATGATTTGGGATCGAGGGGGATTATTCCTCTGGCCTGGACAGCCTTCGAAGGTGGGCCCCATTCGTCGTCTACCCCGACCGCAAATGCGACCGGTGTAGGCGCTTTGAGGGACCTCCTTTTGTCCTGGCTGGGCCCCGCCGGCTAGGGCCCTTTCTTCTGGCGCTTTTCTAGCTTTGCCGGCTCGTCTGTGTAAACCCTGGCGCGCCATTATTCCATGGCTAGAAATTAGCCTCAATGATTTGGGATCGAGGGGGATTATCCCTCTTTATCCTGCCTCATCTCGTGTAGGCCTGGACAGCCTTCGTAGGTGGGCCCCATCCGTCGTCTACCCCGACCGCAAATGCGGCCGGTGTAGGCGCTTTGTGGGACCTCCTTTTGTCCTGNCCCCTTGCTCGGGACAGCCCATAACAAAGTTTTCTAAGCACTTTTCACGTTGTTTATTACAATGTATATTCATATGATGACATATGAAAATTCATAATGGTACATGTGCCCATTTTAGCCATTCAAGACAAATTTTTTGAATTTTATTAAGGTAACGTAATGAATTGCTTAAATTCGTTTTTCTCGGAAATAGAGCATTTTATCCAAAGAACTAAAGAGTACCTCTTTTGTAAAGGAAATGAATATCTATCATATGTTGGCATGAAAACATGAACTTGAAAATTTCGACAAGTAATAAAATAGAGGCAAATTTTAGCCGACGATTAAAATTATATGACGATCTTATAATAAGCGTCAATTATGTCAAAATTTATAATTTTCCTTGAACCCGTTTCGAAAATATTTAAAAAAATGAAATTTTTGAGGCCCCTATTTAGGGAGCGTAGATCCCTTAGGAAGCATCTCTCGACCCATGTTTATTTGAAAACATATTCTTATTTTTGGCTATATAATCAAGTGATAAATTATTGGACACTAATTATGAGACACTCTGTATATAAGGAAGCTCTACATTTGATTTAATATTTTATCAAAAATGTAAATTAAAATGTTAAGCAATACAACGCATGCTCGTTAATCTTCCGCCACGTTTTTTTGAATACCACGAAAATAAAAAGCTTTATTAGGCCGACATGCAGGTTTGCTAAAATAAACAATGTTTAGAAAAAAATACACACGCTTACGCTGGAAGTATGGCTCTCGTAATAGTATAAGTAAAATTTTCATATTTTTTATTTCAAAGTGTATAATGTTTAGTTTTCTTATTACTGAATGTTAAGTTTCAATAAAATATATGTTTGCTTATATTTATTTTCTTACAAATCTAT